TATTGTAATATTGTAGTTGTTGAAGATGTAAAAATTATTAGTTTTATTTTGTCTTGGCCCTAGAATAAAAAATTCTTTAGAATCCTGTGTGACAAAAATGGGAGGGACAGTAACCGTGCTTGACTACGTAGCCAGAGTGTTGCTGTTTTTAAGTGCTGTTAAGTCAGTTCTGACTCATAGTTACCTTATATAGGGTTTTCAAGGAGCAGCTGGTGGGTTTTAATCATTGACCTTGTGGTTAGCAGTCCAGTGCTTACCCTACAGTACTACACCAAGACTCAATATATGATAGTTTAATTGCAGACGTGTAATTGAGTTATGAACTAACCTAGCCACTTTTTTCTCAGACCATTTTTGTTTGAAAGAATCATAACAGATAAACAATGGCTGTCTAAACTTAAGCACATTTCAGACATTTTCTCAAATGATTAAATTGTCTGCAATTAAAAAAAAACCCAAACAACTGGCAGTATTTATTACTATGATAAATACTACTATTTGTATGTATTCTATGATTTGTATGCAAAAATTAGGCTTATGAACAATTTTCTGCCACCATGAACTTGGCAGATTCTCTAAAGATGAGATATGTGGTAACATTAACAAATATGAACATTTTGATGTCGATTGTCATGTGCCAACATGTACAATTTCTGCATTACTTGGTGATGTAACATGTTCCAAATGATACTAGTTAAAAGTTAAAAAATGATACCTAGTTAAAAGTCCATCTTCAGTGCCAGAGAGACCAGTTGATTTTACTATAATAGTACAGAAAGTTTATTTATAATTTGAGTCTTCATTTTAGTAATCTTTAAGACACTATCATTTGTCAAGTTTTATAGTATCAAAGAAGTATATTCACAGCTATCTAGAATGATATTAAAATCTTTCTTTTCTCCTTAAAACAAAAAAATCCCTAAAGTCTTCTTCCTCCACTCATCTATCATCTTATCTACTTTGGTAGCTAGCATGTTGCTGTAATGGTGAAATTGATGCCACTGGAATTAAAAATACCAGCAGGGTCACCCATGGTGCACAGGTTTCAGCTGTGCTTCCAGAAAGAAGGAGAAGCAGCCTATTATCAAATGCTTAACTACTGAAAACCTTATGAGTTACAGTGGAACACTATCAGATAGAGTGCTGAAAGATGAGCCCTTCAGGTTGGAAGGCATTCAAGACACTACTAGGGAAGAGCTGCCACCTCAAAGTAGAGTTGACAGTGATGACATGAATGAATAAAGGTCTCAGAACCTTCATTTCCTGAGGGGCACAATTCAAAATAAGCAGAAACTACTGCAAACATCAATTAATAATCAGAACATTGAATGTATGAAGTATGAATATAAGAAAACTGGAAATTATCAAAAATGAAATGTAACATATATAGATCTTAGGCATTAGTGAGCTGAAAAGGACTGGTATTGGCCATTTTGAAGCTGACAATCATATATTTTACTGCACTGGGAATGGCAAAGTAAAGAGGAAGGGAAGTGCATTCATGTTCAAACAGAACATTTCAAGATCTATATTGAAGTACAATGCTGTCTACGATAGGAAAATATTCATATGTCTACAAGGAAGATGAGTTAATACCACTAATATTCAAATTGATGCACCAACCACTACAGTCTGTGATGATGAAACTGAAGACACTCCTGGTATGGCACTGTAGGATCATCACTGACTATTGAATCACAAGGTCAGCAGTTCAAACCCACCAGCTGCTCCTCAGAAACCTTATACAGGGTCACTATGAGTCAGAAGCAACTTGACAGCACTTAACAACAGCAAAAATAACTTCTTCAGTCTGAAGTTTACTAAATATGCATTGAAGATGTATAGCTAATTACTAGTGATTAGAATGAAAAGGTTGCAAACAAAGCGAAATGGTCAGTAATTGAAAAATATGGCCTTGGTGATAGAAATGATGCTGGAAACCACACGATGGAATTTTATAAGACCAATGACTTCTTCACTGCAAATACCTTTTTAAAACAACATAAAAGATGACTATACACATGGAGCTCACCAGATGGAATATACAGAAATCAAATTGACTATAGCTGTGGGAAGAGACGGTAGAAAAGCTGAATATCATCAGCCAAAACCAAGTCAAAGGCCGACTGTGTAACAGACAACCGATTGCTCATATGCAACTTCAGATTGAGGCTGAAGAAAATTAAAACAAGTTTACTGGAGTCCAAATATGACCTGAGATATATTCCACCTGCATTTAGAGACCATTTCAAGAAGAGATTTGATGCATTTAGACCACCAATGACCAAAGACCAGAAGAGTTATAGATGCCATTAGGAAAATAAACCAAAATGAGTGAAGAGACTCTGAAACTAGCTCTTCAGTGTAGAGATGCTAAAGCAAATGGATGTAATGAGGAAGTAAAAGTAGAACAGAAAACTTCAGAGGACAGCTTGAGAAGATAAAGTCAAATATTATAATTAAGTGTGCAAAAACCTATAATTAGGAAATCAAAGAGAAGAACACACTCAGCATTTCTCAAGCTGAAAGAACTGAAGAAAATATTCAAGCCTCAGCTTTCAATATTGAAGAATTCTATGGGCAAAATATTGAATTATGTAGAAAACATCAAATGAGGAAAGTAATTCACTGTACCATAAAGGAATGACCAATGTTCACACATTTTAAGAGACAGTGTATGATTAATAGCTAATGGCACCGAAGGAAGAAGTCCAAATTAAACTGAAGACATTTGCCAAGAACAAGTCAGCAAGAATTGATGGAATACAAATTGTCATCTTTCAACAAATTGATGCAGCACTAGAGCACTCACTCATTGGGCCCACTGATTGAAAGAAATCTATATCTGTGCCCATTCCAAAGAGAAATGATACAATAGAATGTAGAAGTCATCAAACAGTATGGAAGACAGTTACCTGGCCAACTGATTGAAAGACATCCATATTTATGCCCATTCCAAAGAGAGGTGATGCAACACCATGCAGAAATCATCAAACAATATCATTAATATCACATGCAAGTTAAATTTTACTGAAAATAATTTAGAAATGACTGAAGTAGTACATCAACAGCTTGCAACTCAAGGAAGATTTAGAAAAGGACCTGGAATGAGGATTAATATTGCTGTCAGACAGACCTTGGTTGAAAGTAGAGAATACCACAAAGAAGTTTCTCTGTGCTTTATTGACTGTGCAAAAGCTTTTGACTATGTGGATCATGACAATCGATGGATAACATTGAAAAGAGTGGGTATTGTAGAAGGCTTAATTATAGTCATGGGGAACCTGTACATAGACCAGGAGGCAGTCTTTCAATCACAGCAGTGGAACACTGAATGACTTAAAATCAGGAAAGGTTTACATCACAGTTAAATTATTTTACCGTACTTATTCAATGTGTATACTGATCAAATAATTCAGAGAAACTGGATTATATGAAGAAAAGCATGGCATCACAGGATTGGAGGAAGAGTCATTAACAACCTTTGATATGCAGATGAAACAACCTAGCTTGCTGAAAACAAAGAGGAATTAAAATACTTACTGATGAATATCAAAGACTACAGCCTTCAGTATGGGTTTCACCTTAAAATAAAGAAAACAACAATTCTTACAAGTGGGCAAGTAATAACATCATGATAAATGGAGAAAACATTGAAGTTGTCAAAGATTTCATTTTGCTTGGGTCACTATCAACACTCGTGAAAGCAACAGTCAAGAAATCAAACAATGTACTTAGAGAATTCTGCTGCAGAAGACCTCTTAAAGAGCAAAGATGCCAATTTGAGGACTAAGGTGTGCCTGAAGTATTTTCAATAGCTTTATGTGCATGTGAAAATAAGGAAGATTATAGAATAATTGATTCATTTGAGTTACGGTGTTGGAGAAGAATATTAAGGTACTATGGACTGCCAGAAAAACAAACAAATCTGTGTTGGAAGAAGTACAACTGGAGTGCTCCTTAAATGCCTAGGTGATAAAAGCTCATCTCTCATACTTCAGACATGTTATCATGAGGGACCAGTTTGTAGAGAAGGACATCATACTTGGTAAAGTGGAGGGTCAACAAAACAGAGTAAGACCCTAATGAGATGATCTGACACAGTGGCAGCAGCAATGGGGTCAAAGGTGGTTTTGAACTGTTTGAACTGCCGATCTGTCAGTTGAATGCTTTACCATTTTTGCTGTTCAAAGACACTTCACATGTTCTACTATATTAGATAGCAGAAGACTTACTATTAAGACTATTAAAGCCTTGAAGTTTAAAAAATATACAAACATAAGTTTTAATGTGACTATATAGTAAGTGTCCACTCCCAAGTGTAATGTTACAAAAATTAGATTCTAGAATCACATCCCAATCAAGTCCTATTTTTTAAAAGGGGAAGTGAAAATGGTAACTCAGAAGTAAATTTTATTTACTGGAATCAGATTGCTTTATTTTTCTTTTTTTAAAAAGTGAAGGAATAAAGACTATGAAGTTACTTGAGTATTTACAGTGTCTGTGTATAAGAATCAAAAAGAAATAGATGCATGTAAAAGGACTTAGGAGACAATTGATTTAAGAAGGAACTGCAACATGTCTTTCACATAGGCATAGCTCACTGATAAGATATGTTACATTTCCTAGGTCCTTGTCCGGAAAACTGGCTTTGGCATGGAGAAAGCTGTTACTTATTTTCCTCTAGCCCATTCAACTGGGAAAAGAGCCAAGAGAACTGCTTGTCTTTGGATGCTTACTTGCTGAAAATTAATAGCATAAGCGATCTGGTGAGTTTTTATAGATTTGTGTTGGGTTAGAGTATCAGATTATAATGGGGTAAATATGGTTTAGGTCCATGGTGGTAGAACACTCATTTGAGAGGCAGGATACCAGGATTCTAGCCTAGCCAGGCACTAGTGCATGCTTGACCTTGGGTGGACAGGCTGTGCATTGTCTTCGGGCCTGAGCCAACATTCTGGAAAATCAATCAAGGAGATGACAAAATTCCTTTTTGTTCTTTAGTTTTATGAATCTAGTTCTAGTCAACTTGCAGATTGTAAAACCACCACAGTGGCTCTCCCATCAACTCAGAAACTTTGCTCTTCACAGGAATTCATCCAAACAGCCAGTGCCCATTCAGGCTTTCCATTCTGGATGGGGTTATCTCACAGAAAACCTAGCAACGCATGGTTGTGGGAGGATGGTTCTCCATGGATGTCCCATCTGTAAGTTTATTATTCTTTGTTAAACCTACCAGTGAAGTTGCTACTACATTCCTCACAACAAAGAGAACTTTGGAGATTTTCTGAAGTCTACTTTCCTACCTCTTGCATGCAGGAATGTTCCCATTTACTCACTCCTAAGGAGTCCTAGAGAGGCATTAGACTGCAAGGTTGGTTTGAACTATAAGTTCAGTGGTTCAAACTCACCAGCTGCTCCTTGGAAACCCTTATAGGTTCCTACCCACTATGAGTCGGAACTGACTTGACAGCACTTAACAACAACAAAATCTTCTTTTGTGAGTCCTGGTGTGGCACTGTTGAATAAGTACTGGACTGCTAACTACAAGGTTGGCAGTTCAAACCCACCAGCTGCTCTTTGGAAACTTTATACATGGTCGCTACGAGTCAGAATGGACACAATGGCGCTTAGCAACAACCTTCTCTTAAGTTTTCCTGCCTATATTTAGTACTGATTTGAAGGTTTTTTTTTTTTTTTTTTTAGGTTTTAAGACAAGTTCCTTATATAAGGTGAAGTAACATCTAACTTTTTCCCACTCCTGTCTGCAGGTTTAGACTCCAGGGTGCTGTTTCCAAGACATACTCATCAGGCACCTGTGCATATATACAAAGGGGAATTGTTTATGCTGACAACTGCATTCTAGCTGCATACAGTATATGTCAGAAGAAGGCAAATCTCTTGGGAGTACAGTGAATTTGAAGGCACCAGAAGAAAACTTGGAGAAGATCTTTGAATTCGAGTCTAGAATAAGCTATACCTTGTATTCAGGTGTAAACCTTGCGAGTCCTGAGCACGAGTGCTTATTATTAGCTGACTGTAGAACTCATTAGCAGAGACTTCGGTTCCAGATGCCTGTCATCTTCTTATCAAAATTCTGTCTAGTTGGTCTCAAGCCTCACTGCCAGCCTTCAATTCCTCTTCTCTTTTCTATTTTTAAATTCCACTGTTTCCCAAGCCTTGGGATTCCACTGCACTCAGTCCTCTCTACCTCAGTGAGACGTTCCCCTCACCCTCCTAGAATTGCGTAGAAGACAGAACACAGAGAACTTGCCCAACTACAGGCAGAGGGCAAAACAAGAAAAAGAAAAGCGGAACTATGCATGGACAATAGAACCCATGAAGAAATCAGTGAGGCAAAGGCCCCACTGAAACCAAGCAACTGTGATTAAATTCCAAAGCCACTTCTCATTAATCTTTATAGTACTGTTCATTTCCAGACTCCATTTACAAACACATACAGTATGTACATATTTGGGGGAGCAATTAAGGAAACTAACTCAGTGTTTTGTTTGTTTGTTTTTTTTTAACTAAAAAAAATATTAGGACACAATTAAATGAAGTAATCTATAACCCATTATAAGTTCCTGAGTCAGTTATTTCTTCATTTTGTTTTTTTCTCTACCAAAAAGCAGTGGCTTGGCACATCCATTATATTTCCAAATCAGTGTTTGCAGGGTTTGTCAGAATTTGTAAGAATCATTGTCCAAAAACAAGAATTAAAAGAAAAAAGGAGGAGAAAAGAATGTTTTGTCCCCTCTGAAAGTACATACTCTTTGTATATACATCTGCATGTCTTGTCAACTTTGTTACAACATCCAGGACAAAAGAATGAAGACACTCATATCTGAGATAAACTGAGCAAGGTATGGAAATATTTATCTATAGAAAAAGATGGAGTTAGAATTTTTTCCTTTATTTTCAGTGTTTCAAAACCTTTTCCAGGAGCACTAGCTGTGGTTTAGGCATTGGACTGCAAACCACAAGGTTAGCTGTTCAAAACCATCACCTACTCTGTGAGAGAGAAATATGATGTTCTTTGATCCTGTAAAGATTTGTCTCTGAAAACTTCACACAGGATCACTATGAGTCAGAATCAACCCAATAGCAGTAGCTATCCACACCCTTCCCATCTCCCTTCACAGACATGGCTACACATATTCTAGCACCAATCTTATAAAACGTTTACCAACCCTAGGAAAACAAGAGAAGCTTTCTTTTATTTAATATATAACAGTTTATTGACATATAATGGACAAACAACAAGCTGAATGTATTCATGGTGTAAAATTGGATGGGCTTGACATATGTAAACATTTGAAATCATCACCATAATCAAGATACAGCTTCATCACCCCCAAAAGTTTCATCATGTTCCTCCTTGTCCCCAGTTTCTAGACCACTGATCTGCTTTCAGTCTACATTTTGTAAAGATTTATAAAATGTAATCATACAACAAATACTTTTGCTATTGATTAGCTTCTTTCACTTGGCATAGTTATTTTGAATTTCATCTTGTTGTTTGTATTAACTGCTCATTTATTTATTTTTTATTAGTTTTACATTCATTCTATCATACATCGTTACATTGCCATAGTTACCATCCCATCCATGCATCATCACCCAACCAAAGGGTATACCCTGCAAGCCTGCCCCCTTCCCCCTCCCCAAGGTCCTCA